GATTACCACTCCCTGATAGAAATTCAGGCAGTTGATTTTTAAAGAAGTCAAATTAAATTCAAATATACAACCTTTACACGGTGCAACCTTTGTACTGTGAGCTTAAATCACTGTTGAGAGCTTACGATGACGCTTGCTGGCTTACTGATGTCCAGCACTCTGGTCTTATCAGTCACCTAGCCAACTTATGGACATGGATGGTTAAGAAAAGGTCCACACAGAAATCGCCGCACCAACTGCCGCGCGCGACGATTCTCGCCGCGTGAGCGGCGTGACCTCATTAGCCGACGATTGAATTGACCGTCTCCCCTATACGTGGCGAGTGATTAGATAGCAGAGAGAGCGTAGTGTTGAAGAGGGCACAGCGATGAGAGTCGCATCAATGCGCAAATCAACGGGCAAGGAAGGGGTCCCATTTCTCGGGTTTCGGGCCGTTTCAAATGGTTTCTTCTTCATCCCTGCTCCACTGACCACCTCTACCCTTATTTCCAAGCTAACTTTTCATCGTAATTCTGCCTTTAAGCAGTCTCGTCGGCAAATGCGACATGAATGCTCGTTGATGTCGCTCTCGATAAATTTAGCACCACATTCTCCACGGTCACCAACTTGCCACCACAGTGTACCTAAGAACATTAAAATAAGACCAGCAAAGAAGACGTACCTGAGGGTTCTTGAGGTGTCCGCTGATATTTGCTCCGGCCATGATACCGGTAGCTGGCCGGGAAGTACACGGAGAACACGGTGAAAAACGTGTGTTCACTCCGGAAGTCGGGCAACATATTAGCTTCTAATGTTCTCCCTGAAGTGAAGTTTTGGTTGTCCATTTAGTAAAGCTAGTTTCACATAAGATTACTGGTAGAGGTGGCTTGATGTGGGGTGGGGACAGGGTCAAGCGAACCGTCGAGGAAAATTTGGAAATACGACCCCCCCCCCCCCCCCCCCCTCCCCCAGAGGCCGAAGTCCATGAAACGACCCTCTTCAAAAGCCGAACTATGAAAAGGTTGTTTAATTCTCCCCAAAACTGTTCATAAAAAAGCCCTGCTACCCCACCGTCCACCAAAAAATTCGTTTAAGAAGTACAAAAGTGAAAAAGTCAAAGAATGATCATTATTGATGAGTCCTACCAAACGAGCAAACGAGAAACGGAGCAAAAACGACAAACTAGTCACTAAAAATGGCATACTATGACAACATCTCTTCTTTATTTATTTCCTTCACAAGACTTACCAAATTCTAGTACTACACAGAGTATGGTTCTCAATTTACACGTCCCCCTTTCGCTTGAAGAAGCCTTGTAACCGCCTTAGCCAGCTGTGTGTTGACTGATCTTTGGCGTTGACCGTGGAGCAGCTTATCTACTATTGAAATTTGAACAAATATTCAAATGATTATAACTTTCTTCAAATATGACGAATTTTCAATCTGAAAGCAGATTTGGAAGTTTTGTGAAGAGCTCTTTCTAATCAGTATTGAAATTACAAAAAGTTATAAGAAATAACAAATTTAGATCAATTAACGAGGAAAATTCATGATGAGCACGAGTTTTTACACTTTCCGAAGCCATAACTTGCTTCATTTTCGTCAAATCTGAAAAGTTAATATGGCAGACAAAACTAGAAGATTTTCTCTATCAAACGGTTGCAGCTGCAGCTTTATACGTCCAGTATTAAAAAATGGCCACGTTGAGGATTTTTGCCCGAGTACCGCCGAAAGGTACTTTTTCGCTACATTGGCACTATTTCAACGACTATAGCTCCTTTTCAGGGCGATTATATACTAAAGTAGGAGCAGATTCGGAATCCTCGTGCTTTTCTCTTTCCAAGAAAGTGTAAAATTGTTTAGCGTTCTCAACTTTAAAGGTTACATGCTTGTGAATTTGACGCTGAAGGCTGCGTTTCTTGTTGAATAGTGTACTCCTCTCTGTAATTTAACATGAACCCTTTCAGAATCCTCTTGATTCCTGAATTGAGATTCTTATCCAGAGAGCCGTAGTTGAAGCGCGCGCAACCAACTGGGCCCACTCTGGGATGCGCCGTGTGCTTCACATCCCTTCAGATTCGAGGACTCATTTGAAAGATAAAATATCCCTTGGAAAACGTGCGAATTTCGGATTCTTTAACTTGTGTGGTGATAAAACACTGAAGTAACTAAG